AGATAGATAGATAGATAGATAGATAGATAGATAGATAGATAGATAGAATGATATATGTACTGTATATGTGTGTTTCAGGTCCACTCGGTCGTGTGGTTCTTTAGGAAACACGATGCCAGAGCTGAAGACACCAGAGCCCTCAGGGATTACCATGGCAACAGGCTACTGGACACCAGTCAGGTTCTCCACAGCGCTGACCTGCAGAGTCGGTTCTCCATCCGGCTCTTCAGCCTGTTCGTGTTCCGGGCCGGCCTCCAGGACTCGGGCCTCTACATCTGCGGCTCCGCCCACAGGGACTTCTTCTTTGGTTACGACCTGGACATCCAGGAGGCCCGCAAACTCAGCTTCACCCCGAGGTCAGCGGACGGGCAGCTGGTGGACGAAGCCCCTTTTTGGAGCTGTACTCAGAACCACAACCACACAACTGAACTAGTACCAAAACAAACCTTTAAACTGAGCACATTCTAGAGCAGGGGTCACCAACCTTTTTGAAACAGAGGGCTATTTCATGGGTACTGAGTCACACGAAGGGCTACCAGTTTGATACACTCTTCTGAAATAATACATTTGCTCAATATGCTTTTAGCTATACTTTATTAATAATCATTAATGATACTCATCTGTGACAACAGGGACAACAAAATGGGAAACATATCAACATCCACCACTTTATCTCTATTTATCTCTTCAACTGTTAAATTTTCAGATGATCACTTACTGTACATCACTACATTTACATTGGAGTTTTCATTTTCACTAGCCACTGACAAAACCTTTTAACAGATCATGAATTATGTTGCACCATGTTTCAAAAAGTTATCAATCATCTAATGTTAAATAAAAATCAACTCACATATTAAAAAGAAATCTGAAATCTCATGACCAAATCTTTAACAGATTGGCATAGCATGCTGTTCAGCAGTGCATTGTAATCTGGTGTGTACCTTGACACTGGAACTGTGAGTGCATATTTCAGATGTGCTTTTTCTGCCTGTAGTGGGCTTCCCGGTGGCTAGTTAGCATGCTAGCTTTTGTGGCACGAAGTGAAGTGTTTTTCCACATTGTGCCGCTTTGCCGTCGCCACAATTGCCCCGCAAATCAGACACACGCAGGCTTCTTTAACATTTGTAAAAAAGAACTCCTCCCATTCGTTGTGAAAGTGATACGTTTTCTTTCGTTTTTCTCCCATGTTTTTGGGGTAAGAAACTGCACCCATCTCCGCTGCACCCGCTAGCTTACACTCCACTGACACTGGTTTTGTTTTGTCACGTGCACAATACTGACCGTTGAATTAGAGGAAAACTTAAACTTAATATATAATGAACATATTTTTAAGATATTGTCATTTTAAATCAAATCTATATGAATGCAAGTGATATTAAAAAGAATAGCAACGGAACAAAATTAAATTTTAGACGCAGCTCACTATTGAGTCGTGCTATTTTTAGAACAGGCCTGCGGGCGACTCGTGTGGTCCGTGCGGGCGACCTGGTGCGCGTGGGCACTGTGTTGGTGACCCTGTTCTAGATGTTTTAGACCGATTTTAGATCTGTTTCGTTCCAGTTTGGCCAATCTGAGGATGGAATCGCAGGAGGGGGGCGAGATGCCCGGCCCTCCCCAGGCCCTCTACCAGGTCTTCACAGGCTACGAGCCCTGGACGGTGTGTGACCGTTGCGGACCCCCGGGGGAGCAGGTCCGCATCGGACTCTGCTACGTCCGCTCCCGCTTCCTCCACGTGCGCTACCGGCGGGCCAATCAGACGGTGGCCTCCTGCGGCTCCGGGGGGGTCCCCAAGGCCTTCGGCGATCTGAAGGACCGGACAGGTGGGCCCTCCATGGAGGTCCGGAGCTGCCAGGTGGCCTGTCCGAGTGAAACTCCTCCATCCTCTAGCCTGCTTTCTTTGATGGCTTTTCTTGGACGAAGGTGAGCAGATTTAATAACACAAAAAACGACAACCGCAACCAGTTTTTTAAATTTTTTATTGACCCAGTGCAATTAATTTGAAGAAATAATGCATTTAACTAACCATTACATTCAATTTTCAACTTTTTAACTGGTACATAAGTGGTCCTTAGGAAAACATTGGTGTTTTTTAGTATTAAGAGAGGAATTTATCACTTAGGAAAGGCAAAGTCTCTACTACCATCATTCGATAAATAGAGGGGTGCTTACTTAATGATTTTCAGCTCTTAGAATTTGATACAAGACCATGCAGCTACTATGTGCCTTTTACAGAGATTGCTTAGTCGTAGATTAAATACACAAAGCAAAACCTCCCTGATGAGTTGGTGTGGGATCGTAATTTTCTGTTTTACCTTCCTTTGCTCTTGCATTTTGAAATAACGAACAGGAGACTTGTTTTAACGCGTTATGACGGCTTGTTTTTAATGCCAACGGTAAAACAACTGTATAGCTCCGCCATGCTACTTTATTTTTACATGTGTGTTTCCATAACAACATAAACTTCTGGCCAAAACTATGGAAGCCTAGATTATTGGCAAAATATGTCAAACTCAAAATGTACTAATAAACAAACAAATAAGAACAGAAATATATCTTAAACTTAGAATAATAAATTCAACTTATACTTTCTATAAATGAGGCTTACAGATTGGATGAGCCAGAATGTTTTTTCAGGCATAGCTCACAGACCTTTGGGGGCAGAATAGCACTCGAGCCCGGTGCTTATTGATTGATTTTTTTCGCCCTGCTGCAGTTCTTGTATTACTCTGCAGTTTGGGGTGCCACATGCATATGATTTATACCTCCATAATTGGG